AGAAAAACTTCTCATAATTATGACATTTTATAATGTAGGTCATCGCTTGCCTCAAAATGGAAAGGGTCACATCGTAGGTCACGTGAAAGATCTGAGACAAGGATCGACTATAGCAAGTCTTTACGATGTCAATGATCCTACCACGCGTATATATAAGACCCGGAAAGCACAATCATTCCATATGGACGGCACTGACGTGGTTGTTTTGATCTGTTTGCAACAAGGATATCAAGGTGGAATGAGCTGTGTGATGTCATCGGATACTCTTTATAACCGTCTTCGCGAATTACGTCCTGACATTGTCGAATTAATGAAGACTCCATGGTTTTGGGACAGAAAGAACGAACATGGCCCAAACAAACTACCGTATATGGCGACCGCTCCTTTGACTTATTACAAGGGTCATCTCTTTACTTTCTGGCGTCCTAACTTTTTTGAAACCACATCCGATTTCCGGAGGTAGCGGTTGAGAAGGAGAAGTTTAAAGCCATAAAGTACATTCAGGAACTGTGCGATCGCGAGGCGCTTAATATGACGCTTGAAGTTGGTGATATGCAATTTGTTCAAAACTACCAAATCGTGCATGCACGCACTGTTTATGAAAATACGCCCGCTCAAACTCGGCATCTTTTAAGACAATGGTTAGTTGTCGATTCTGTCGAAGTAGGTGTCTCGATTCCTTTTGAAATGGACGAATACAATTATAAATTTTCTGGTCAACAGGTTGTGCCTCTAGAGGCAGAATAATTGATTTGAATGACATTGTCCTTTTTTACAGCTTTTTAAAAGAAATATCTTGGAAATAAACTTTCTTATATTTCATCAGATTTAAAGCTTTTTGCAATCTTTTCACAGTTTTTACATCACCAAGCTATTTTTACATGACTGTGTGAAAGATTTAAACTACTTTAAAGGTTTATTACCGGCCTTCATATATCTTTTAACAGTTTTAGAGATTCAATAGCTAGCCAGCAAGATATTTGCATTCAACTTTGCAATTCTCTACACAACAACAATTCGCATCATTGAAAAACTAGCTGGACAATTTGGTGTGAGTGCGGGTGTGGGACTAAATTCACAGCTCAGCTCACTTACGTGCACACCTAAATTCAATGAGACCTAATTGAACTAACAGAATGATAAATCTAAGTTTATCTATCATGTGTGTGTTAATAAATTCCACTAATTTATCGTAATAATCCTAAAAGACGCAAGAAAGTCAGGGTAAATTAAGAAAAGATTTTTTTCGACATATATCGGATGCGCAAGGATAAATAGACCTCTCAGTATCTTAGCAATATCTTCTTCAATTTTCATCTGGTTGCATTCATCTTTGTTTTAAAGAAATTCCGCATCACGAAAGCTACAAAAACAATTTTTTTTATTAATATAAATAATTTCCTTCATTCTGAGAAGCACGGTACAAACGATGAGTCTAACTAGTAGAACTTGTAACAATAACTGATTTGCGGATTTTTGTAGTTGAGTATTTTAACTGTTGAATTAGTGTCGCTTTTGGCTTGACCTCGTTCCCATTGGTAGCATTGACAAGTTCCTCCCCTATTGAATATTGAATAGTTCAAAGGATTTAAAATAAAACTATATGGAGGTCAATGATCCTTGTCAATAAATGATGGTAAATTGTTTTGATACCATTGTTGCATTAAATAATGTTGGTGGGACTTTGCACTGTCCTACTGAAAGATGCAGTCGATGTCGAAAACTTTATTTCCATATTTTAAGGCTACCAGAAGTACATTTTCGATATAAAAACTGTGATTGAAAATTCCTTCATCCAAGATCACCAAAGGTATGATATCCTTGGAACAGGCACTCAACCACACCATTACTTTCTGTGGAAAATCTCGTATTTGCTATGCCAAAAAACTTCTTGTTCGAAAAAGAATTTTCAAGATGTCTTCTTTTCGAAAATTCGTTTGAATCCAGTTTTCAAACTGTTTCCGTTTGATCATTGGAAAACGATGGTTCGATGGCTATTTTTTACGGCTTTATTTCTAAATCGTTGTTTAATATCCCCCTGACACTTGCTGCAGAGATAAAAAAGTTCATTGATAGGCTTCGAGCTGATACTATGCTTTTCTGGTGTAAACGGCTTTTTTCACTTTTTCGACATTTTCTTTAGTCCTGATTATACGTGGACTACCAGGTGAACTTGATAGTTGAATAGAGCCACATCATCGAATCATATGGCACCATCTTTTGATGGTTGTTAAACCAACACCATCATCTAAGTCACGATAAATTTTCGTTGGCATATTACCTTTCTGGTACTTTGAAAGTACAAGTTTTTGTCGATCTTCACTTTTCACGTTATCTGAACACTTTCATGTGCTATGGACTTAAAAATCAAAAGGAGTGAATTTGTAGAACTTGAAATGAAGATTTTTTCTAAAATAAAGATCAGTTCAATGGGATGGTAATTGAAGAAGATATCGCTAGAAAACTGAGAGATCGATTTATCCTAGTACACACGATAGTTAAAAAAGAGATGTAAAGACTGTTTTGAAAAACATGAACATGATCAATAATATTTTTCTAAATAACGCCATAAAAAGTTTCTACTTCTAAAATCAAAAAAAATTGATGTATTTGTTATTTATATACGGTCGGAAAAACGGTCATAGGAGTGCCAATTCTGCACATTTACGGGATATAAATATGGACATAAAAAAATTGTGCATATAAACGCTTTGAGTTGAGTTTTCAGATAAATTCATGGTCAGCTTCTTGGACATGCATTTAAGAGAGGGTCCGCCAGACGACCTACCAAGCCGGTACCACTCAAAATTTAGATTTTCGATTTCATATTCTGAAACGATAGGCCATGGTTAGGACCTTATAAATCCAAAATATGAACTCTNAACTGAGAGATCGATTTATCCAAGTACACACAATAGTTAAAAAAGAGATATAAAGACTGTTTTGAAAAGCATGAACATGATCAATAATATTTTTCTAAATAACGCCATAAAAAGTTTCTACTTCTAAAATCAAAAAAATTTGATGTATTTGTTATTTATATACGTTCGGAAAAACGGTCATAGGAGTGCCAATTCTGCACATGTACGGGAATAGAAATATGGAAATAAAAAAATTGTGCATATAAATGCATTGAGTTGAGTTTTCAGATAAATTCATGGTCAGCTTCTTGGATATGCATTTAGGCATTTGATGTTGGTATTTTGGTACATTTATGCGTACTTTTAGTAGTTTGTGTCTCGCTGGATCGATTCCACGGTTGTTCTTCGCCATTGAAGAGAAGACAATAGACAAGAGATCCGGCAAGACCTATGCCAGCTGAAACATTGAAGATGACACGCCACGCTTCAACTGTTTGCTGAATAAACAGAGAATAAAAACGAACAGAAAACATTTTGAACTGACATTCTTATTTGTTATCCAACCGACAAATGTTGGTCCTACAAAGCCTGGAATCGCAGCTAACGTATTGGTAATACCAACGAGTGTACCTAGAAGATGAGATCAGTCTTCTCAAAAAGACAAAAATCTTTGATTAAACCTGCATAATTATTTGCAACATCCAAATGTGAAATGAGACTACCAGAAGTTTGGAAACCCATAAATCCAACGGCAAGAGTAATGAAAACAGTAGCCCACGTATGATTACATCCGATATAACCAACTAAGACAAGAAATACAGATGTTCCACAAGCACCTAGATAAAAACCTAGAAATTTGACGCGAACAGTCATATATGCACACATACCAATAATGGTTTGCAATTTTCTTGTGATAGTTGTCGATAGGATTCCTTTTCTTCGTACTCGATCTGCTATTTGACCCGATACAGTAGTAAACAAAAGATGAAAGATATAAGGGATAGCAGACACTAATCCATTCTAAAATATATTGTTAACAATGATGAAGATGCAGTATCGTAATTACAGCTTCTATTGTTTTCAGAATACGATAGATGCTATCAATTTTCGAATAAATTTTGATAGAAATGAGAGAGAGCTCCAATCTTTAACATTTAAAAGAGGTCTATTAAGGTTAGAATTCACGATCCGAGTGGTGTTCAATATTGGGGAATTGTTGAAAATGATACCTTTGAAAATTGTAAGACAGGATTCAATAGCTTGTTCCATTTCGCAGCTATGAGAATGTTGTCAAAAGCTCTCATATTGACTAAACGATCTATGATCACTCCAAAATAAATCGAAAGAAGTTTTTCCGCCGTGCTAAATCGACTACCAATCTTTTGTTTTATTTTTTTCAAGCAATTCAGAATCAGTATGTTAAGTCTTTGTCTAGATACTAAAATAATAGGAACTTTCTCTTGTTTCTCTCTAATATTATTCGAAAAACGGCAGTATTCGTCCTATTTTGAAATGAAGATCAATAATAATTTCGATACAGCAGCTCCATCGTAAAACAGATAGATAAACTAACTCGACGTAAATTGAATTGTAGAATTGTCGAGAAATATGTAGGCAATGAAGTAAGCAATATATAATAGACGAAATTGAGACAAATATGATTGATTGCAATTCCATAAAGTGGTACGCAAGTAGCAATATGAAACCATGGTGTACGAATCTAAAACAAGATCAAAATGAACTTTTCTGTTATTGTTCTTCTTCATTTTTTCTTAATACCTTTTTTGGTTTTGGTACACATTCAAGAAGAAATGCTTTTTCCTCGGATCCTATACGAGGATGTTCTGAAGGCGAATTGTATGCAAAAAAACACCATCCAACAAACCAAACACACGTAAATAGACCTTTTAAATTTTTTCTTCCATAGAAAACAATAGAGATAAAAGAAAAATAAGTACTAACCAGTGACATAAAAAGCTGATGGCCAGCCATCTAAAAATGTTGATGCACAGAGTAGACTGACCAATGGAGTTATCATCACAATACCGAATTCTTTGCCTGGACACAAGTAACCAGAAGACGCATAAAAAAAACGTATATCAGAGAAAAAATATTCTAAAAGTCTCATATTGAACTCAATTAACCTATAGAAGCAAGAGGCGGGACAACACTTCGTTCGAATGGTGGGATCCATCGACCCCACAGTGCACTGGCGCTTGGAAGAGCTGGAGCCTAGAAAAAATAAAAGACATTTTATTAAACAATGTATAGCTTGTATTGTGACGTACCTCAAAAGCACCAATCAATATTCGAACAGCAATAAGTAAGCCAGCATGAGTTCGAGCAGCAAGTGGTATTAGTAATGTTAGAATGCCAGCACCGAGAGTACTGCCACCAAATATCCATTTGGCACCAAATCGTTCGGAAAGATTACCTTTTCATTTAAGAGAAAACACAATGTAATACACAGAAAATGAAGCCAACGACTTGCCTCCTATGATTTGTGTGAGCAGATACCCATAGAAGAATGAGCTCAAGATAAAACCTTGTATTTTTGGTGACCAATCCAATTTGTCCTTGATTGAATCGGATATTAAATATAAAATTGGTTTATATTCGTCTTACTTCGATAGGTACCTGTAGTGATGAACTATTGTTATTATTATCAATGGATGGACATGCTTGAATCGATTCTTTTGTAACACTTTGCGGTATTGTCATAGCGACTAAATAAAATAAAAGAGAGAGAGAGAGAGAAATCAGCATCAAGTAGCAGATCATTGACAAATACCGATGGCAATGGACAAATTAACTCGAAGCGAATATAAACAAAAGAAGCCGAAAAAAGCCCAAATAGCTACGACCTAGACAATAGTTAAATATTACTACAATGGAGAATAAAAGAGAGACATACATATCGAGTGGCGATACAGTATGGTACTGACGATGATCGAATTTGGTTGGTATTGCTGCCATTGACATTATCATTATCGAGTAATGGCACTTGTTTGTCACCATTGTTGAATTCTTCTTGTTTTGATAAACTCATACTTCTCGCTATCAACAGAAAACACTGCTCAATATTATCTAAAACATATTATTAAACTTAATAATAGAAAAAAAACAAAGGCATCACTCTTACAGAAATAGAGATCTCTCAAAATCATTTACTATTCTTGTCATGAAACAGTCAGCTAGAGGGTGTAGATGTGGACGTAAGTGCGGGGATGTCGGTCGGGATCTCTTCTCGTTCCACACTCATACCCATACTCACACCTACAACATTTTCTTTCTTAGTGCTGCCATTTTAGCTTCGATGTTCTAAATCTTAACTTAGAATGCAGTAGCTGCTCTTATCGAACAGTAATACCACATTCAAGAACTCAATAGATGCGAAAACTAGCGATTTTTATATAGAAAAAAATGGAAAAACTGAATACAATCCTTCCGGGATTTAAATGTGCAACACGATTTAGTTGTTCTTAGTATGCACTGAGAGATTATTTTAAGCTAAAGAGTTTGCAGTGCATTTCTAAAACATAGATTTATACCTCGAAAAAATAACGACCATTCAATTCTATGCAAGCATAGATAAGGATATTAAATCAAGATTCAACTACGAAAATTTGGACCAACAATACTGTAATGTTTCAGAATATCGATTTTTCTGAAATTTTTCTGAAACTTCAAATTGTTTTCTATGACTGTACAAATAAAAGCCTCATTCATGAAGGTGTTTTTTGTACAGTTAATTGTGTTCTATCTCTTCATGTAAAATAGCTCTATTTGAAGCAAGTATTATGACTGGACAAGTATTTCTTTGAAAGAAGAATGCAAAGGTCGAGATTTATTTTGTCCTGTTCATTTCATTGAAAAAAGAACGTATTCAAATTCCAAAAATTGGGTGTAATGCGTCAATGATTTTTCTTTCAGATAAAATAAACATAAACTTAACAGATCAACTTTTTATCGATCTATGTGAATATTTCTGAATAATCTGAAATTGCTGATCCAAAAATAAGACTTTTAGAAAAATTTGAGAAAAAGAGAATTTTTATCCTGCAAGACATCTTCCAAGTCGAAAAGTCTTAGTTCTAGTAGAAAGAGAGAATATTTTTAGAGTTAAGAAATGGTAAATTTCCGAAGAATAAAAACAAAAAGCTATTTTTTTGTCACGCTATTTAGTATGCTAGAGTCTCTCTATATTGTTTGTTCAATTCTTCATAGTTGACAATGGGATCAAACGTCTTTGTATCTTTTTGTACAGAAGTTAATCGAACATTTCTTCAAAAAACGATTAAGTTCAAGAAACTAGTTCTAACACAGTTTAGGGTGCAAAGGTGACGATTAATCGTTCACCGTTCTACCGTAATTACCGGTGAACGGTGAAACAGGCCCCGGTTGACCGATACCGGTGAACCGAGCCCCGGTTGGGCTGATCATCCATGTTCCCATCTTGAAACCTATACTGAATCTCTGTTGCAGAATTCGGAGAGTAGGGGTGGGAAGTTACCGTTACGTTCCCGGGTAACGGTAACGGGACAGTTACCCAGAAACGAGGTAACGGCCAGACAAGTGTCCACCATCATCAACCAAGGGCGTCGCTCCCAAATCCTACTATTGGGAGATACTCTTGGATTCTCAAGCACCACTGTTGGGGAATACTCTTGGGTCATCAATTCCTACTATTGGGGGATACCCTTGGGTCCTCAAGTCCTACTATTGGGAGATACCACTGGATTCTCAACCGCTACTATTCGTAACTACCACCGGGTTCTTAGGCCCTCCATGCATAGGTACTATCGGATCCTCAAGCGCCACTATTGGCTAGTATCCTTGCCTCAGTACCTGCAATACCAGAAATTGTTCAGCCATTATGACAGATTAGGCTTCATCAAATGCTTGTTGAGCAAAATATGACTCAATGATATTGGCACATTCTATATTTGAGACGTATAAAGCGTAGATCACCATATTTATACTCCATGTTCGCAAGAGGATCCACACTAATCCTAAGTACCCCAGAAAACGCACAAAAGCTCTCCGGACAAATCCAAAACGAAAGTGGTCCGCAAATCGGATTAGTTCTAAAACTAACCGATCAAATTTTAAAAGACTTCTTTTTTTCTTATTGTTCAGACAATTCCTAGCGAAGTTCAGTCCGATCACAAGATTACCGAAGATGCTGTACCTAATGAGGAATATATGTAAGTGTCTCGTTCAGGTGCCACAGTCATAAATAGAATCTGGCTTCTTCACTGGTCGAAAAATGGAGCAATCAGATTTCAGGAGGGTGTATCTCTCTTATTACACGGGTAACATATTGTCATGCTCATGCCGATCGTATGATTATTGAGAATCCTCTATCGAATGAGCAGTATATGTGTTGGTGTGCAGCCTTTGTATAGATGGAAAATATATTCTCGAAATCTGATTAGTGAGTGGAAATGGTGGGGTGAGCGGTGAGAGTCATTTATCGACGATAGTGCACGGTGAGCTTTTGGGCGGATCGTTTGTGGTGGTCGAAAGACTAGGATGCGATTGTTTACGACTGCTGGATACGGTAACGAAACAGATGCCGCATACGTAGCTTTACGGCTTTGCCACCTTTTGCACTTTTATCGTGGCGGTATTGTTACGGCAGTCGTTATCAGTAACTTCTCGCGGCGATCGTTCGCTGTAATTGGTTGGTACACAGCCATGAATGACCAAGGAGGTTTGACCTGTATGCTTTCAACAGTAGGGCTTGAGGATCCATAGATATCTTCCATTAATAGGGCTGGCAGACCCCAAGGTATCCCTCAATAGTTGGACGGGAGGGCGCACAGTTATCCACCAATAGTAGGACTTGAAAGTCTAAGGGTATCCCCCAATAGAAAGACTTCAGGATGCTAGTGTGTCCCTCAATAGTAGGACTGGAGGACCTAAGGTCATCGCTCAATAGTAGTACTTCAGAAGCTAAAGGTATCCCCCAATAGTACTACTTGAGAACATAAGAGTATCCCGGAAAAGTTGGGCCGTTATCCCATTCCCTGGTAACTGGTAACAGGCTGTTACTGTTTCCGAGTAACTGGTAAGGGAACAATTACCAGTTACCAGTTCCCCCATAACTGGTAACTTCTTCTGTAGCAACCTTAACCGTTGCCGTTCCCGAGTGACGATCCGGGAACGGTAATCTCCCACCCCTCCCCGGGGCAACGAAACTGCAATTATGGGAAAAATTCGTTCTTGAGGACTGCAGGTCTAGTTGATTGGTCTGATCGTTCACCGTTCCAGAGCGGCGAAACGGTGACGGTGGAGCGAATTTTGATCGTCACCGTTGCATTCCTAACACAGTTATTTATGAGATACAGAGCGGATCATTTGTATAGGACATCTATTTCTCTGATAAAAATATTTAATCCATCAAATTAGTTTCACTTTTTTTATGAATCTGTTCAAATATATAATTTGAATGCTTTTTTTTATTTTCTACCTTCTTAGATGAATCAGTGTCAAGAGGGAACAAGCGGACTTCTGTACTTCCGAAGTACAAAAGTGCGGAAAAGTACAGAGAAGTACAAAAAAGTACGAAGAAGTACAAGGGGTACAGAGAAGTACACGCTTTGTTCCTCGATTTTTTTCGAAAGCAGAACAAAAGTGTTCTGTTATTGGGAAGTGTCAAAAATTCTGTTCCAAAGCACAGAACATTTTTCTTCTGCTTTGGGAACAGAATTTTTGATATTTGTCAAGAAGTACCCATGAAAAATAATTTGTATAAAAATGCGTCCCAAAGCAAACTTGAAGGAAAAAATGCTATTTTTGTGTTTCAACGCATCCTTTTTTAAGTTCAACGCGTTTAAACGCATCAATTTTTATTTCTAGTGTGTTTAAACGCGTCTTTTATATTTTGAACGCGTTTTTTCAAATTAAAACGCAACTTAAAAACACTGTTTGAATGCATTAAGTTTTATGCGTTTGGAGGCGTTTGTTCGCTATGCATTCAAATGCATTTTTAGCCTTCTTCTATTGAAAAACGAGTGTTTTTTGAAACGCGTTACAACGTTGTTCTCTTTAATGCGTTTTTTTTCGAAAAAATGAATAGTTTAGAAAAGAGTTTGAACGAATGTTTGCTTGCATTTGGTTCTAGAAAAGGTGTGCTTATATACAATAGAGATCTATGTTAACTAGAATGAATATTGGGTGGCATGAATGTCAACATATGTAAGTTAAAAGGTATAACTGTTCAGAACAACTCTTTGTAATATAATAAGACAAAAAATATATTCGAATAATGTTGAAAAAGACAACATGAATTTTACACAAAAAAAATCTAACAAATCAAGATAAATAGTAACGTGTTCTAAAACTAGCCTCCCTTAAAGTTAGATACCGAATAAAATAAACATTTTCAAATTAATAGTAGCATACATTTCCATATTCATATCATTTACATTAACATGAATATGATGATCAAAATCAATTGTCCGAAATTCAACATTATCGCACAAAACTTTTTTTGTAATAAAATTCAGCAACATTTCATCTTTTCTGTTGTTACATAAGGACCAAACTTGTAACAATAAAGTATTTGATGTCGTTATTAATATAATTTTACTAGTGAGNCCTTTTTAAAATATAAATATATCTTGTTGATATTCTATGTTAGCTAATTAGATTAAACTTCAAAAGAATTTTTCAATGTATCAATATAACAGATAAGTATAATAGTTATCTATTGGTCTATTAATAGTTTTATTGAACAAATTCATCATTGATATATGTTCCAAATCTTACTCTGAAAAATTACCCTTATTTAGACATTTTTTCAAAAAACATAAACCCAAAACAAATAATATTTAAATGCAGTACAATTTGAGAGTGTAACGACATAATGTACTTCACATTTATTAAAAATGAAGAAAATACATCTATTATAGAAATTCATGAATTTTCGACTTTATTTGAAAGTCATCATCAGAGGAAACTTTTGTATATGTTATGTAAGGCGTTCAGTAATGTGTTTTGTTTTCTGAATGGAATCGAGTTGATTTTGGATGGAGAGCATGAAATAAGTTGAACGAATGAAGTTGATGTTCGGGCATGAGGTTCGCTGGGTTGCGGATTTGAAGTATATGGAAGTTGGATCATCAGTGTTTACTGATTTAATGGGAAATGAGAATGGGCGGGTGACGTTGGGTTTTTTTTTGTATAGCTGTCTTTCATCATATGTATATCTGTTAGTGTAGGAGATGTGTAGCTGATGATCTTGAAATTAATTAAATATCGGATGTATGGTCATTGTGTTTATGGGAAGGTGGATGGGAACATCTAAATTAGAATAGGATATTCTAGAATAGTTAGGTTTTTTTTCGGTCTTGCCTTTGCAGAAGTGATGGTTATTGGGCAGCAGCTGATGAACCTTGTGTTGTCCTTTTGGTATAGGCAAGTCAGCCTGGGTACACGTAGAGAGGGACAGATCGATCGGCATTGTTGAGTGATGGTTGCTGTTTTCTGATAAGTAGTGACTCTTTTACAAGAGGACGGTATCTATGTTTCTCTGTCAGTAGAATTTTGAAATCTTCTGTTGTGAGTACATGTCCTGTTGAGTAGTAGTGCCTCGCAATTGATGACTTTGGGATTGTTTGATCTCCTTTTTTATCAACAAACTCCATATTTTCGAATAGATCTTGAAGGTGGTCTTTACTTAAATTGTATTTTGGTTGGGGTAATTTACCCGTTTTGAATCTAGTCATGTGTATCTTTGTTGTTGTGTGTGATTGAATAGAAGATGCATTTCGTTTTACAACGGGCGGAGTTTTTTTATATGTAGGTGGTGCGGATTTTTTTTGTTCAGCAAGATGTTCGTTTATTCTTGTTTTTAGATGTCGATAGGTTTTACCGATATAACTGTCACTGCATTTGGAGCATTGTGCTTCGTACACGACACCTGATTTAATTAGTGTTGGAATTTTATCTTTATTCGTGAAACCAGTCCCAATGCGATCCTTTGCATCGTAAACGACACGTATTTTTTTTTGTGGGTACTGTTTGGACACTGCTGATGTAATACGTTTCGTATAAACATAGCTCGACAAACCGAAGTAGGGTACTCGAACTACAACAGTATCTGTATTTGGCGTTGGTGGCTTAGGAGCAGGTGGATTATATAATAAATCAAGTTGTCGTCGTATGNTTCAGCAAGATGTTCGTTTATTCTTGTTTTTAGATGTCGATAGGTTTTACCGATATAACTGTCACTGCATTTGGAGCATTGTGCTTCGTACACGACACCTGATTGAATTGGTGTTGGAATTTTATCTTTATTCGTGAAACCAGTCCCAATGCGATTCGTTACATCGTAAATGACACGTATTCTTTTCTGTGGGCACTGTTTGGACACTGCTGATGTAATACGTTTCGCATAAACATGGCTCGACAAACCGAAGTAGGGTACTCGAACTACAACAATATCTGTATTGGGCGTTGGTGGCTTATGAGCAGGTGGATTATATAGTAAATCAAGTTGTCGTCGTATGATCGAATTGACGAAATTTATGGGATATCCGTTCTTCGTACCTAGTTTCCGAATAAATCTAAATTCCTGGTGCAGACTGTTATATGATGAACAAAGTTTAATTGCTCTATAAACTAGTGTAGAAATGGCATTGTACTTATATGCTTTTGGTACAAAGCTACTCCATTTTGTAATGAGACCGGAAAATGTTTCTTTTCTGTGGACTTTAGTAGCAAAACCTATACCCGGTTGCTTTTCGATCAGTATATTAAGAAATGAAAGTGTAATTGTATTTGCTGCTTCTTCTTCACAAGTAAATTTAATTGATTTATGAAATTGAGATAGTTTCGTACAAATATCCTTTGCTGAAAATGTTGAATCAATCAAGACAAAAGTATCGTCAACATATCTCTTCCAATAGACTATATCCATACTTGTAAAAGATGATGAATGCGTTTTTTCAAAATCTTGCAAAAAGATTTCGGCCAGTAATGGAGCTAAAGGTGACCCCATGGATACTCGATCTACTTGATCATACAGATTTTTGTCGAAAAGAAAATGTGTATTTTTTGTTGCAAAAATTAAAAGTTGTTTCATATCATCGCGCTGTATGGTTGGTGGTGTAGCGCGAGTTTCATACAAATTTTTAAGAATGATTTCTATAGTTTCATCAAGTGGTACATTCGTGTATAAACTAGATATATCGAATGATACCATCTTGTAGATGGAAAATGATTTAGGTAATGTTTTCAGTTGTTCGACGAATGAAAAAGGATCTCGAACCATGCTTTCTTTTTCAATAATATCCGATAAGATATTTGTTAGAACTTTGCCAAGTCCATAATTGAACGTTCCTATAGCAGAAAGTACTGGTCTTAATGGAATATTATCTTTATGAATTTTTGGTAGTCCATAAAGTCGACCAGGATTCGAACCTTTCGGACATGACATTTTGAAAAATTGTTCTGTTATGGACTTTTCTTTTAACAATCGGTTTAATAATTTTATAAGATTTTGTTCCCTAGTAACTGTTGGATCAGTAGACAGACGTTTAAATTTAGATGAATCATTAACAATTGTATACATCTTTGACAAGTACTCGTTTTTATTCATTAACACAACACCTCTACCTTTATCAGGCCGCGTGATAACAAGTGATTCATCTTCTTTTAGATGCATCAATAGCGAACGATATTGTTCATGTTCGAGATTGTCTCTGTATCTTTTGTGGCAAAATCGATTCGCTTGAAATCGAAACGAGTCGGTAATAGAACGAAGGTTACTTGCTAATGCCATTTCTTGTGCGGTGAGAACTCGAACTTCAGCGCCAGCTTTAGTTTTTTCCTCAAGTTCAGACATTAGTGATTTGTGATTTTGATAAATATTTGTAACCTGATGAAAAAACTGTTCAATGTTACTAATGACGCCCATGTCATCAACACGTGCAGGAACTAAACCAAAATCTAAACCATTTGTAAGACAATCAAGTTCGTCATTCGACAGTACTCGACGTGAAAGGTTGGTAACAACTTTTCGATTAATCTTCTTTTTCGGTGTCACATGATGAGGGTGTGGGTGGGTGTGGGTGTGGGTGTGGGTGTGGGTGTGGGTGTGTGGGTGTGTGGGTGGTTAAAGAGAATATCTTCACTCAAAGCCACACGCACACCACACACACTCACACCCACACCATTGGANTTTCCTTCGACATTTCATCATTCGACATTTTTCCTTTCTGCCTTTTTCCACCATACCAAAAAAATTGTCTATAGCATTATTATGAATGATGTTTTTTCGTTATATGAATTTATTTAATCCTTCTGATTGTGTCCTATTCATTGTCTATTTGTTAATCTTTTCTTTTCTAGGTATATCAGAGTAACGAAGTTTTATTGGATATAGAATATGAGGAAGCAATGAAAACTTATCAAATAATATATAATCATCAATAGGAAGAACAACCTGTTAGTGAACAATAAAAATGAATTTAAAACAAAGATAGCAATATTTTATGATCAACAAATGAAGTGCTTTTGCTGCATAACTAGTAAGGTATAACAGAAATAGCCAAAGAAGTTTAAGGAATGTTTGTACTTCTCTTGAAGATTTTTTTGATTTGTTAAAATAGTCCTAGTGAAGATAAGAGATTATCAGGCTGCATAAAGCAGCAAAGAATTCAGAGAAAAAAGGTTTTTATTGTCAAAATCTACATAATAGGACGATTTCGGTACTGTTTTCATGCAAAGCATTTATGCGAGCTAGAGTTTGGAAGATTCTCAACGAATGAATGAAAAGTATACGAAACACTTTCTGTGGAATAAAGAAAAAGACAATCCTCTAACAGACATAAAAGCGAGCATTATTTGCTAATCAGAAGATTTCCGAATCATTGAATCAAAAAGAATATGCTGTTTCTTCATCATGTAGATCAGCGACCGAAATCGGGCGAGGAACCGAAGTGAGACAAAGGGTGGATAATATTAAATCACCAGAATGTCCACCTATGAAATTTTTTTAATAAAAGTATCTATATCAGGACTGTACATACATGATAGTAGATATAAATTTTTATAACGCATGTATGAGATAGCATGAACAAGATACAAAATGATTTTCTATTCCTACGATATTTTCTATTTCAACTGATTTACAAAAATTTCTGATGATTTTTGGATACTTTGAAATCCTACCAATTTTGCTTTTGCTTCCAATTAGGACACATATATGACAACTACAACGTGCTTTTGTGACTGTTAGTTAAGCATAAGCTAATTTAAATAGATGGTCAATTATAAAATAAAATGCTTTCATTTTCTTTTTGCCAAAACTAGAATTACAGTTCCAATTGTCCATTCTTAGCTCATTTGTTAGCGAGTTCTACATTCTGGAAAAGTATTGATTATGTTCTTTAAATAAACTTTTCTTGACAAGAAAAACTGATTAGATGATCGAGTGCTCTATTTCACATCTGTGATGGTTTAAAAATCAAATCGATAACCATTTTATGAAATTAGGACTCAATAAAACTCACAAGTTCCTGTAAGAAATCGTTAATTAGTGGGTCCATGTGAATAAGTATTTGAAAAATGTCATTCAAAAAAATTTTCATGAATAATAATTTATGAACTCTATACAACTTTTTTTTTGAGCAAATCTGTAGCATTGTTTGTTCTGGTTTCAGAGCAACCTAAAAATTTTCCTGGTTCGCCGTGAAAGTAAAATCATATTCTTCAGATTCAAATTTTTTTATAGAATGGTATTCTAATAACTCTTCCATAATGCACGTCTAACTTTGAAAATAAAAATTTCGAGAACGCATCTTAAAGATCTCGTTTGATGCTTAGTCTAATTCTTTTCATTGCGAACAACACCATTAGAACCACTGCGAGCATGCTAAAATTGTAGACTCTAATATTTTCGATTTACAATAGAACTTGATGGCACGCAGGTTTACGCAACACGATCGATGTTCACCCAAAGTATTGGTGATCGCAGTTAGGAGATTGAGTACTGTACATAATTAATGTATTCAATTTTTCACAGAGAAAAATGTTCTGTCTATCAAGCATGCAATGAAATTTTTGAAGTGCTCTTTTAATTCTAAAAAAAAAAAAGAAGAAATTAGCAGCGTTCCATTCTCATATTCTAATAGTTACGCATTGAAATTATGTCCATGTGCCCTGTATACTACTCACTATTTAAAAGTCATGATCAATCATTTCAAAATAATACTTTTTTATTTATAGCTTATCTCTGCATGGTTTTTTATGCCAGAATTCAAATATATAATGTATGTTAGGACTCGAAAATGTGCTTTGAATGCTTGATGATAAATATTCTAGCACGTGATGGTGTGCTTGTGTGCGTAGAGACGAAAGAAAAATACAGAGACATCCACACCTACACCCACACTCTTAATTTTTTTACCTACGAAATCGAATAGTTTATTGAAAATCCTTGAAAGTCTATAAGGATGTTCTTAAATTTTTCTTCTCATAAAATAAAGTTAAAGGCTGCGTCCTATCGAAGTCGAGAAGATGTTGCTGCTTCGTTGTGCAATGTGCTTTACAAGATCAGTATAATAGATGTTCAAATAATTATTTTACTTACTGTAATTTAAAGTAAGTTCAAATCGAAGAGAACATTTCGAAAAATTTAGTTGCAGGAATGTATGAGATAAATTTTCGTTGCTAAATTGAATCTAAGAGTTATTTCCCATCGAAATAACATAGATGTGAAGTCAAGATGATATTTTGGCTTACTCTGACATGTTTTCCCGGAATTTAAGAATCGTAAGTTTTTTTCGAATGTCTCTAATAGAAGAAAATAAACATAAGCCTGTAAATTTGAAATGGAGAACTTTTCAAGGGATGAATAATGCGTACACTATCTTCTTTTTGTTATTTAGCAGAACAAAAACACTAGGAAAATACGTTATTAAGCTTAGAAAATTTGTCTATTTATGAGTATTTACTGTCCTTCGTTAATTTGGTTCTTCTTAACTTTACACACCAGTAAGTTTATTGATGTTTTCACAAAGAATTTAATAGAAGTTCTTCTCAAAATAATAATCAGATCTAAGAATTAACGATGTGAGTGTCGGTTTGGGTGCGTGTGAACTTAGAGAAGATCCACACTCACTCACAATTAAAAAATAGAATCTACAACTGAAGGAAAATACAGTCATAACTTTTGAATAATCGATTGTCTTTTCCAAGAATAAGTCTTCCTTCATTAATACAATTGTGTCGAGCTGCAATTCTTGTGAAGTTCTCTGTTACAATTGTCAACTGATTGAAATGTACTTTGGTTTCATTGAAACGAAATGCACATGCTTTTGTATCAAGTTAAAATTGTTGAGTATGACAATCATCGACATATAAAATTGCACGCGAAGTAAGATTCGTATATTCAATCATTGAATATGATTGAATAATGTCACGTTTATATTTATCAAAATTCCATAGTGATGATATTATATTTAAAACAGTGAAATATTTTAACGCCAAAAAATTTGTAGCATTCTAATGAAAAATACATATTCCAATAGACTTGCATCAGACACAGTTAGGTAAGTAACATGATTTAAATGAAGAAGTTAATATGCAGTAATAATTCGAGAGTGTTACAACAATGTATTATCATTTTATTGAGAAAATGAACAAATACATTTAATATAGAAATTCATGAATTTTCGACTTTATTTAAAAGTCATCATCAGATGAACTACTAAGACTTAACCAACTAGAACAGTTAAACTTGTACGTTGTTGTATAAGATCATAACCAAAACATCAATGACATAATCAACATAAACTATATATAAATTATTTTGTGTATATAATTGCTCATATAACTGCTATATTTTTTCATAAATGACGGAAATAATCAATATGAAGGTAGAAATAAATAAGAAAGAAGGGGTGTTCTCTTGTTTGACCTGACCTTGTGTCTAAGGGATGGTGAGTGGTAGTAGTTATTTGTCATTGTTTCCTGTTGGTCGCGCTACCTAGACCACCTGGGTACACGTACAGGGGAACAGATCTGTCGGTGTTGTTGAGTGATGGTTGTTTTTTTCTGATGAGTAGTGACTCTTTTACGAGAAGCCTATATCTGTGTTTCTCCGTGAGTAAAATCTTGAAATCGTCCTGCTTCAATGCATGTCCAGTTGAGTAGTAGTGTCTCGCGATGGATGACCTCGGCATTGTTTGATCTCCTTTTTTATCCACAAACTCCATATTCGCGAATAGGTCTTGAAGGTGCTCGTCACGCAAATTATGTTTCGGTTGTGGTAATTTACCAGTTCTTGACCTAGTCATGTGTATCTTTGTTGGTGTATATGTCTGAGTAGAAGACTGATTTCTCTTTATAATGGGTGGAGATTTTTTTTGTGCAGGCGGGATAGTTTTTTTTTGTTCGGCAAGATGTTCGTTGATTCTTGTTTTTAGGTGTCGATAGGTTTTACCGATATAACTGTCTGTGCATTTTGAACACTGTGCTTCATATACGACACCTGATTTCATTAGTGTTTGAATTTTGTCTTTATTAGCGAAACCGCTACCAATACGATCTTTTACGTTGTAGACGATGCGTATCTGCTTTTGTGGGTACTGTTTGGACACTGCTGATGTAATACGTTTCGCATAAATATAGCTCGACAAACCGAAGTAGGGTACTCGAAACACAACAGTTTCTCTTTTGGGAGTTGGTGGCTGAGGTTCTGGTGGATTATATTGTGCATCAAGTTGTCGTCGTATGATCGAGTTGACGAAGTTTATGGGATATCCATTCTTTGAACCTAGTTTTCGAATAAATCTAAATTCTTGGTGAAGACTTTTGTACGATGAACAAAGCTTAATCGCTCTATAAACTAGTGTAGAAATGGCATTGTACTTATGTGCTTTTGGTACAAAGCTGCTCCATTTGGTAATGAGACCCGAAAATGTCTCTTTTCTGTATATTTTGGTATCAAAACCAATGCCCGGCTGCTTTTGGATCAGTATGTTAAGAAATGAAAGTGTATTTGTATTTGCTGCTTCTTCTTCACAAGTAAATTTAATTGATTTATGGAATTGAGATAATTTAGTACAAATATCCTTCGCTGAAAATGTTGAATCAATCAAGACAAAGGTATCGTCAACATATCTCTTCCAATAGACTATGCCCATACTTGTAAAAGATGACGAATGCTTTTTCTCAAAGTCTTGCAAAAAAATTTCGGCCAGTAATGGAGCTAAAGGAGACCCCATGGATACTCCATCTATTTGGTCATATAGATTTTTGTCGAAAAGAAAATGTGTATTTTTTGTAGCAAAAATCAAAAGCTGTTTCATATCACCACGTTGGATGATTGGTGGTGTGGCACGAGTTTCGTACAAATTTTTCAGTATAATATCTATCGTTTCATCAAGGGGTACATTCGTGTACAGACTAGATATATCGAACGACACCATTTTGTAGTTAGAAAAAGATTTAGGTAATGTACGCAGTTCTTCCACAAATGCGAAAGAATCTCGAACCATGTTGTTTTTCTCAATAATATCCGACAAGATATTCGTTAGAGCTTTGCCAAGTCCGTAATTGAACGTTCCTATAGCAGAAAGTACTGGTCTTAATGGAATATTATCTTTATGAATTTTTGGTAATCCATAAAGTCGACCGGCATTTGAACCTTTAGGACATGACACTTTGAAAAATTGTTCTGTTATGGATTTTTCTTTTAACAATCGATTTAATAACTTGATAAGATTTTGTTCTCTGACAATTGTTGGATCAGTAGATAGACGTTTAAACTTAGACGAATCATTAACTATCGCATACATCTTCGACAAGTACTCGGTTTTATTCATTAACACAATCCCTCTACCTTTATCAGGTCTGGTGATAACAAGCGATTTATCTTCTTTTAGATGCTTCAATAGCACTCGATATTGTTCATCTTTGGGATTATTTCTGTCTTGTTTGTGACAAAAGCGATTCACTTGAAACCGAAACGAGTCAGTAACAGAACGCAGGTTACTTGCTAATGCCATTTCTTGTGCGCTGAGAACTCGAACTTCCGCGCCAGCTTTACTTTTTTCTTCAAGCTCAGACATCAACGATTTGTGATTTTGATAAATATTCGTAACCTGATGAAAAAATTGCTCAACGTTACTGATCACGCTCATATCATCAGCACGTGCAGGAACTAAACCAAAGTCTAAACCATTCTCGAGACAATTCACTTCGTCATTCGATAGTACTCGACTTGACAGATTCGTAACAACTTTTCGATTGATCGTCCTTTTCGGTGTCACCCGCTGATCGTAACCATACAGCTTTTCGTTCAGTTTATCCTGCTTCTTTTGCAAAACCGAGACAGATATAAAAACAATCACAGCTTCTAGATGTTGAAATAGATCGTAAGGAGTAGCATTCTTCAGAACTTCAACCGACGAAACATAAAACTTCTTTATTCTCCGTAAATCACGATACTTTATGTCGATTTGCAAATTAAGAAAACGACGTTGACAATTCTTGTAAACAGATGAACCGCTGAGATCATCATTAGCGGTTTTAAACCACAAAAACTTAGGCATGATATCATAAGCTCGACACGTCTTCAAAAATTTAATATCCACCAAAAGCGCATGAAACCGACGATAAAACTTTTTCACCACACGGTATGCACGTAATACACTTTCACCATAATTCACAAGTAAAAAATAATCAATATTTGCGACAGGAAAAACCATCACACTAAAACGTGACCTTCTCTCAACAATCAAAAATGAAAAACACATACATACCTATACCAATTAAATAACCCTTCGTTACACAAAAAAATGGTTCTAGCATACACCGACGAAACAACGAAATAAAAAACCCAACAAGAACAACACTTACTCATCCTATGAATACAAGCGAATAGCCTTTATCTTTCCTTTTCTAAAAAATATGATACCACCAGAGGCCACTAAGAAACAGAAAAAGCAGTATCTCCCACAACAGAATAAACTAACACTACAAAAAAACAGAACAAAGCCCCATCTGCAAAAGCGAAAAAAACCAGTTCTTATCTCATCCGAATCCCATTGCGACAGAGCAACAATTCAAGTATCCTAATCAAACACACTCACCAGTCCACGAACAAAACATAGCACCATAAACCTGCGTATTCCAACCAAAGGCGCATATCCGAAATGTCATAAACTAAAACCCAACCGAGAAATACGAAGAACAACCCTTCCTCTGATGATGACTTTCAAATAAAGTCGAAAATTCATGAATTTCTACATTAAATGTATTTGTTCATTTTCTCAATAAAATGATAATACATTGTTGTAACACTCTCAAATTATTACTGCATCTCACTTATTCAAATCATATTCATGATTTACGTATTTTCGCATGGGACAACATCTATGGCGTGATGTACAACGAAGACCTATTGCAAAAAAAATCAACACCTAATAAACGGTTAGGTTCAATAAAATAATAAAATAATAAATACGTTGATATTTGTCGAATATGTTCATTATTTAAATAGTTATTTCTATTCAAATAAGATCCAAAGAATTCTTCAACTGTTAAAGACATTTTAAATTCATTTGTATGTGGACGTCCTTTTTGTCTAGTTATACTTTTATGAGCTACACAACCATCACTATTATCTTTACTATTTAATATATTCAATAAACAAAAATTACACATATCCAACTCTAGATGACTGCAAAAATATTTTTCGAATTTTTGTATATCTTCTTCTGTTTGATATAAAACATCATCAGAATTTTTCTTGTTGTGAAATATTTCATGAACACAACGCTGATATCATTTCGATTCAAAATGATTTTGAATTAATATCATCCAAAAATAATCATTATTATCAATTAAAATACATAATTGTTTGCACGTTTTTGATAAAATGATAACATCAATGAAACATAAATATTTACATATATTATATAAAATATGATGTGGAAGATCATTTATATTCATTTGAATCTGAAAAGAAAAATATAAAGTAATCTGACAAATGATTTGAAATAAAGAAGGAATAATAACAAAGAAAGTCTTTCAGTTTTTATCTGAGCTAAATGCCATTTTCGCCGCCATCATTGTTCATTTTCATCATCATCATCATTACTATCATGCTATCGTAGAAAAAAATTTAATATTAATCAAAAATACATAAATAAAACTTACCGACATTATTATTGCATGTTTATGTACGAAAAAAAAACATTTATATTTTAATAATTCTATAAATAAATAAATTTAATGAATACTTACAAATATGAATTAAAATTATTTTTGATCTAAGATAGAAAATGTTAAATGACTAGAGGTAAAAGTGTTATTTTACTTCATTGATGGTGCTTCGTTGTTCATTTGTACCTTTTTAATAATTGCTTCTTTAAGCAAAATAATGTTTCTGTTTAATGCTTTAAATAAATCGTGGAAAGATGCAAATGATCGAACATTTTCTCTCTCCTAAAATCAGACAAAAAATGACTTATTCAGAGTATTTTTTAAACATATATTACGCATGAAATGTTTGCGTAATGCTTTTAATGAGTAAATAAATATGTTGAGTCCATTGTCAATGCTTTTATCTTGAGCTGAAGAACTAAGCCATTGTATAAACATATATTGGACAACCGCTTTACGACTTGTTATAACAGTAAACATAATAACTGAGAAAAAAAAACCTAAAAAAGAGCAAAATCTTTTTAAATTGGTTTTTTTTTATATTTTCAATATTTACCGGGTAGACTCTGTGAAATCATAATAATGACCAATCACGATTATTAAAGCAAATAATACTCGTTTATTAACTGTATTTAATTCGTTAAAGTTCGTCATTGTAGAAAGTTGGTGATATAAAACCATCGTTTCATTATAAATATCCTTAGCAACAGTTTCATTAATGTTTTAATAAGCTCTTAAATTATCAATGACCTGCATTTGTAATTGAAATGCAGCAGACATTGATCAAACTTTTTGTAAAATTTGAATATAGAAAGTTCTGAGCAAGTAAAGGTGGAGTAAATAGAGTTAAACGTGGAGAAAAATGTTAAACAATTTATCTGAAATGAATTCATTATTATTAGAAGACTTATCTCAAATTATAATTTAATATAAATGGATAATATCGAATAGTATTAGTCAAGTAAAAGAAATTTGATCATTTCAATCGATATTTCTGACTCTGAAATGTAGAAGAATCAATTAGTTGTTTTATCTTTACTTGTGCATTTGGTACTGACATATGTGCACGATGTGTTTGAATTTTTTTAAGATAACATTTTGATGTAACAAAGAGATGAAAGGCGTATGTGTTAATATTTGGAGACTATCTTTGATTATTAAATCCATATCAGATGATGCAAGAAAATCATCATGTTGTCAAAGACGAATTAAATTTAAATACATCCATCAGCATTACATAGTTTTTGAAGTTGATTTAAATCATTTTTGATGTCATAGATTAAATAATTAAGCTAGAAAAAAAGAAGAAATATCTTGAATTTTAATGAAAATAATTTCTGTTTAATCTTTTTTTCTGAAACAGTAATTTTGCATGATTGTGGAAGATGTTTATTGTTTACTTGTTCAATTGCTTGACGAAATTCTTGAACTAATTTTGTTAAAATAAATAAATAAATGACATCAATTTCATTATAAATTAAAATCTTTTTTTTAATAATCATCTCTTTTTTCAATAATATTTTCTAAATCTGTCCATTCTTTAATAAATTTTGAAGATGTTAATTGTTGATTATATGTTATAGTAGCTAAACTAAATTGATTACTAATTAAATCGCCGATTATTTTTTGTTCATCAACACCAAGTCGTGGATATGCTAGATCGAAATGATTAACATAAACTATTTGTTGGTGAGATTTTTTGACATGTACATAAAAAAAACATTTAAAGTAGGGTGTGGATGTGAGTGTAGATGGGTCTTCTGTTTACCCCCACCTCCACCCAATCCTATGCAGAAAATTTCATCACAATAGGTTCATATTCTCAAGTGTTATCGTGTAAACGGCCGGCCTGACACACTGAGCGATTCTATAGTGTACTTTTTGAGTACACAAAACAAAGATAGTCAGTCAGATGTATACATCACTCTGAAAAAAATAGGTATTCTCGAAAACTCTTAGAGGGTTTCCGAGTTTGTTACTATAGGAAACCTTTTAAGGGTTTCCGCAGAAGGGTTTCCGAGACCTCGGAAACCCATAGTACCCATTATAGCTAAACCTCAAATACCTCTGCGGAAACCCAAAGAAAAGGTTTCTGAATGCCGGTAAAGCTCTACCAAACTAGACTAGACAAGAATCCATCACTTCTCTGCCACCAGCAAAAAGCATTCACAGCGACCACAGACGTTCAATAAGGCTCTGCTATGAAGCTATCCGTAGCCAGAAATAACTAGAACAGTCATTAAAGGTCGGCAACACATAGTATTCAGAGAAAACTTTTAGTTATCCAGACGCACTTCATCGCACCATTACCAAACCATCACGAAGCTGAACATTGCGACTTTTTCCACCTAAAAAATGAAGAAACAAACCAATTTTTCGTAGAAAAATCATCTAAACTCACCCGTTTTCTTCACATCCAAACCAATAATCACCCATTTCATGTAAAACACAATTCAACCGAAGTAGTTAATCAACGAATTTCATAGCTCACCAAACGTTTTCCTACGATAACCATCTAAAAATAAAAAGAAAATTATATTTTAATTTACTAAATTGATTCGAACTCACCCGAACTTTTGAGAGAAAACGAGTCTAAGGATGAAAATAAAATTTGATTTTCGTACAATAATTTGGACAAACTTCCCACATGTACTGAGATATAAAACGAATCTACAAAGAAAAATGAAACTGTTTTTTTAAGTCAAAGAAGTTTTTCCAACTCACCAGATCTATGGATATAAAACGAATACAAAAATAAAAATAAAATTATATTTTT